AGCGTGAGTATCCTGAGCCTTAAACCCTAATGAGGTTATTTGGAGCAATACCTATATTTACTCCAAGAACCAGGAAAGAAGCATGTCACGGTTTTTGTGTACCAAGGGGAACATGTAATTGTGAATGTCCCAGCACCGTGACACACCCAATCCCAATCGAGATCAGATGTGCTGACCGTCATACTCATCAAATTATGAGATACCGATTGAGATTGTGAACATCAGTAAATATTGAAAAGTTAGAGAAATTTATGTGACCATTGAGTCACCACATTTGTGACATTTCGAAAAATTACGTGACTAAACGAAGCAAAATATAATCTGTATCCAAACGGTTCATCTCAAAAACATACTTTGGAAGAGTTCTTGTTAGAAACCAGAAAACACGACTAATTTCAATCAGTTGTTTTCCTCCTACCCTTAGGCAACTGGGAAGACTTCGACGGTTGGTCAACTTAAATCCCCATAACTAATAGCTTTTGAAGTCAAATGTTTATGGTATCAAATTGATGGACTTTGAATATCAAATGGGATCATACCGAGCCCGAAGCCACGTCTTTTAGCCTTCGGAGATCGGATTTGTTAGATTTTCATCTTGGACAGAGATGTAGATTGTTCCACAGAACAAATGCTAAATCACAAAGTAGCAACCGAACTAGTTTCCATTGTTAACCACTTTACTTGTGGGTTTCATTAAGCGTCAATTATCATTCACTGGATGTTTTTGAACGATGAATAGTAGTTCACAAAACGTCTTCATGAAAAGGACAACACTCCTCGAATAGAAAATGCCCTCTGTACCTCATCTAGATGGCTTATGTACAAGGGCTTCATAGTCACCACCAAGCTTGAACGGTTTCGTCTAACAAGGACTACAATTACGCAATTACATGGACCATCCAAAGTAAATCAGAGTGAAATTTTCCTCCGGCGGATCCGGGACATGTGCAATTCTCCCCACCACGCGGTGGCCAAATAGTTGGCTAGTTTTCTGCGACCGTTGAGGATGAAGTTGGCTCAGCATAGCTTTCAGGATACATTCGATCTCATTCCCTTCGGATGTCTTAATAGTGTATGACCGTTACACACTTTTGCTATTTGACACGTTTCTCTTCAGGATTTTCTAACTGGTGAGACAATGAATATTTGTACAGAATTGGTGTGGGTCTACTGCCGGATAACAATTATCATTTTTACTTTCACAATAAGGAATTCAAGTTTATTCATTAGATCTATCGCCGCAAGGACAATATGGAGCCTCCGCTGGGTTTGTTGTTTACTGATATTTTCGTGTCTGAAATGGAAAATGGTCTTTTTGAAACCTACGTGAACATATTTGTACGGTGAAAGCGTTACTCATGTGGCGTAATTCCTGATCAGATTGTAAACATCTACTTGATCATATCATTGCTGCTCATCTAGAGTTGAAATTAATGATCAGGATCGAAGCAGACAGTCAACAAGCAATTTTGGTGTTTTTCTTACTCGTCGTAAAGACAGGTCAATCAAACGACTAGTGCATAATAAGACGAAGCGGAATATTCGGTATATTTTCTTCCGTATCTTCGCATCACACAGTGTAACAAAAAACCTCGTACTCTGTTTGGTCAATAGGGCTGGAAGTTTTTCCACGGAGGACATCGTAGCTAATGAATTCACAAATGTGTGGAATATTTTTATTCAAAATGGATTCCCTGAACGCCTGATGGATTCTTTGGCACAAAGACATGGGTGAATTCTCAAAAGGATTATAGCTGATAAAAGGTTATGTACACCTTTTTTATCATTTAGACGTGGCATATAGGCAAAAATAGTTCTCCTTTACTATCCGCGCAGCTAAGCTCCATCCTAATTCACATTCAGCTCATTCATTTATCTACACCAGAAGCATAACACCTATATAACTGTTTGGCTCCGTGGGGTAAAGTGTATCACTTTGGGTGGCTGGGACGTGGAGTCATTAAGTTCATCTCACTCCTCGTTGACACAAATCTTACCCTAGATGTAATCAAAGTGTTCCGACCCCTGTGCAAAGTTAAAACTCCACAGTTTAGGCACGGGCGGTTTCGCATTCTAGTCACAGACATGGCAGTCATTGTCCATCTTCACAACCCCGTTCTGTGTTCAAAAGTAACTCAGACTCTCAAGGCAGAGTGTGACCGGAGTGATCCTCCTGAAGCATCTAACCAAATGTTCATTGACCCACATTTAGAGTGGGTAATAATTATGATTCAAAGTTATCCATAGTAACGCTACTTTCCGGCTTCCTTTCGTAATTACCCACCTGTGATTAACCATATATGTCATGTTGATAATGATACACTGACAGCGACCTGGCTGAATAATGGGGTGATTGAAACCGTCAACGGTTCGATCATATCACACCATGTTCAGTCAAACCACGTGGTTACAGTGGCCGAGGCGTTTGATCTATCTACTTAATACGCAGTCATCAATCTGAGGGGATTAGAAGTCACATTCTGACCGCAGCGGAAGCGATTGGAACCCACATGCATAATCTCCCCCATGCCCTTCAAAACAATTCGTGAGATCACTCGGTCTTCTATGGCCCCACGCGCCCCTAATGACCCAATCCTGTGGATATGTATGATGACCAAAGTTCGAGCAACATCCCACTTTGAAACTGGAATGATGATGAATTCTCTTCTCATTTTTGTATGATTTCTCCTTCCTAATCAACTATTTAAAATAAATTTTGATGTACGAGCTTCTTGGATATTGTGTTCTTGCAAAATTTATATCCGGGCAAGCGTGTGTTGATCCCAAATGATAGCTTCGAACGAGCAAACGAGACATTCGATTTCTCCTAGATAAACATATTATTGATAAACACAACCCGGGAGCACAGTATGAGGGACCATGTTTGAAAGTACGTGACCTGCGATAACTTTGCAACCTATATCATTCTTCACCCAAATTTCAAAACAATATCAGATGACCAAGGGTCAGGTGAAAATTATCCGGCCGATTTGGTAAATATTGCAGGTGTGGAAAGCCCTGCAAAGAACAGCTAACCACTGAGTGCTCTATTGCGGTCCACTGCGCGAATTAGAAGGCCAGTGGAAGATCGCGGTCATCGTATTCCTTCCAGAGCATTGCAACATTTGCTGCTGGTGATAATTGGATCAAATCTATGTTGCATCCTAATGGTTATGTTCATTCTACTGTGCTACTATTGTATATTCTGTCTAAAAAAGCAGTTTCGTATTTACGAAACAATCAACGGGACCACGTTGGGTTTCTTATTTTTTCACGGATTGGAGCAAACGCAGCACTGTACGTAGTAGAGATCTTTACAATAATATAATGGCAGTTCCTTCTTTATCGGGTGGCGGTTGGGTCCAGTCCATATCCTTTCTGAGACAGTAAAGAGCGCTTTCGCCGAGAAGAAAAATCAACTTTCAGGTGAGACTGTTGAGAGGAAATTCCAAGGGAAGGAAAGGTTATGCTAAGTCATCAGTTTTTAAATACAGCAAACAGTAGGGTGCTGGGGAAACCGTAGCGTCTGCTCTTTCGTTAACTTTTAAGTTGGTGGTAGTTGCATTTCTTTCAAACAATTTTTCAAATTACCAATCACCGAAAAATGTCATTCGAGTGCCCCGAACATGATCCACCAAACAAATAGGACATCCAAACTGCTGCTTAGGGTACAACCATCTCTGTACTCCCCAAAAGACAAAGTTTCCATGTATTTTCTGAGTCGCCTATGCGGGGTAACCAGAGCGGCAGATTATGTAACTGTGCTCCTGAACATACAGGTGTTGATCAAACTCGTGCAACATCACTCTTGCTTTAGAAATCCATTTCAATTTGCAATATCATGCTTATAAATTGATAACTATGGGTAAAGTGTATTTATTCCTGGCTTTATCTCCGACATCCATGTTATTTTTCCTTTTTTGTTAGTTTGAAATTGCACGACCTTGGGTGTGGCGATATAACTGTGTTCCGGAATGTAGTCCTTTGGGGTACTTGAATATCTGAAGCTATCTGGGTCAATCTGGACTATTGTGTTCAGATGAGCCTACTTCATTTTCACAGACATGAGGCACTGCGCGCTATCTTTTTATTTTGGGTTCCACTACCTAGTCGTACACATATCCCTATTGTTGAAGCGTATTCTAAGCACGCTGAAATTATTGTGTAGTGGCCGACAGATAGCCTAGAGCAGCTACTTCGCCCTTGCTGGGATTTGTTACCAGTTAGTCTTGTTGTTGCTGTTGTTGTTGCCCTTGTTGTTGTTGTTATTGTCACTCTGTCAGAACTCGAAAGGTGAAATCATTCCGCGTGTGAACAGATGTTGACTGTTCAAGGAGTAAAACCCAGAACCAAAATATATCGAGGTCTTTTGAGGTGCTCATTGCCCAGGAAACTGCTACAGAAACAACGATAATTTTTTACTTTATCCTTATCTAGTGATATTTTGCTTTGTTCTTTTTTCCAGGTTTGTTTTTGTCGCTGATTTCAATGCCAACACTATGGATGCGAACAACAAATGATCATTGAAAATTTAACAAAATTCAGTGCACCGAGCACACAGTTTGGGTTTTCCTTTGAGCTCTAGGGAAACTTATTGCAAACACTTAGAGTATTAAGCCTGGGGATTAGCCCTTTCGATTGTTCAGAGGCACCAGGCACTGTTGATTGTCTTGGGTGTGGGTTTCACTCCTTGGCAGATCGTTAATTGCCCGCAAGATATTGCATTCAAATGCGATGGAAATGTTTGTGATAACCACCAACAAAGAGCACTGGACAGCTGTTTCGTTCTGCCTGGGACTCGTTAGCAGTGCGTACTTTTTCTGTCCCTGTCAGGACTCGAACCGCGATCAGTCGGGTCGGGTCTTCAAACCCTTACCCCTGAGCTACACGGCCGACCGTCATCACCTTGCGCAAGTGGCTCAATCAATTCAGAGTATCAAGAGTGCCTGGTGCTTGTGAACAATCGAATGGGCTAATCCAAGCTCGATACTCTAAACTGATTAAACCATTTGCACAAGGTGATAACGGTCGGCCGTGTAGCTCATGGGTGAGGGTTTGAAGTCCCGATCCGACTGATCGCGATTCGAGTCCTGACAGGGACACAAAATGTATGTACTGCTAACGAGTCCCAGGCAGAACAAAACAGCTGTCCAGTGCTCTTTGTTGGTGGTTATCACAAACATTTCCATCGCATTTATTACAAATAACTTTTCACTCTCGATATAGGACAAATGCTAAGACAGTTCTAAAAATGCAGCTAGTGAAAGAAGCATTTTGTACTTCCGAAATTGAGTGAAGAAGTGAGGCAATCGTAGTAAGATTCAAACACCAAGCTACAGTAAGCTGCCGAACCAAGACACAAATCGGCTCACTGTTGCAATATCTGCAGTTTTATAAATGACAGTATAGCTATGACCTAACTAGGATAATAGCTTTCTGCTTTGATGGTAGTTTGTGAGCATCCTGATCGTGATCTAACTTTTTCCCAGTCACATAATATCCTGTCTTCCCAAGCTAACCTCACCGAATCTTCATCCATGTAGAATTGATGAATCCGATTTCGCCGGACCAGTTCATCGATCAAAAACTCACCAAAATTAGCATGAACAATGGCTCGTCTCACGGCCCAGCGAGCCAGTCTCCGAAGACTGGGAGGGATATAGACAATCGTCTCGGTGCTCGTCGGAATCTCGATTTCATCCACCTTGCTCATTGTGTGCGTAGCCCAAATTTGAACGAGTACTTGCCACGTATAGCTTGCTTCACTTAGGGAATTGGCATGAAGGGATCCAAGAAGAAGTGCATCTAAACAGTTTGGAAATTGCTGCCAATCCATGGAATGCCTCCTGTATCGTTCTGCGTTCCATTGTGGTACGGGCCAACCATTTTGACACAGAACGGGGCCAGATAAATTGGGATCTCTGGACCAAAAGTCAAACGGTAGAGTCTTGTTCCCGAATAACAGTTCAATTAACAGAGCCACATGCGGTTGATATTTAACACGATCGCCGTTGTTGGTCAACTCAAACTGGGAATTATCGGCGCCATTTTGTAGTTTAAGTATTGTCTGAAAGAAAAATTAGTTTACGGTTGTGACTGGTAAATCCGTGAATTTATTGTCTCAGAAAAGGTTTGTATACGTATGGTTTTAATATGAGATATTTTTGTATTCTGCAAACCCGAGCAAGAGACATCTCAAATTATTCCGTCTTTTTACTCCGATGCGTTTTCTGTTCACATTACCCTCTGGGTCTAAATGGAGAACTCTCAAACAGTCACTTACCAATCCACGATTTCTAGTTTTCAGATGCTTTGAAAGATATATCCGTCGATAATTTGGCTGAAATGGCATGCCAATGATTTTAAAATCACTGGTCCATGATGCAGTGAAATCGACAAAAGGGTCCGGAAATTTAGGTCGATCCATTTTTGCTTTCATCATCCGAATTTTAAATTGTTTGCTCTTTGATAAAAAGTATGGTATTTGGTATTAACCTGATACCGATCTCGAAGATCGCGAAAAATGTTGTTGTGAATTGTATTTGTAATTTTTGAATTGCCAAGGATCTAATTCAAAGTTAAATACAACTGTGCCCTCACTTCGAATAAAACAGGATTCAAAGAGGTAGTGAACCAATAAATTCAAGTTATATTTCGACTAACTTTTCTATTCATTGAATATGAAAAAAGGAATTTGAATGAGAAATACAAACTGGAATGTACTTTTTATCAATTATGTGATGTGTTTTCGATATTTTATTCCCGTGTGAATTTGATCAAGCACAAATGTCTATCATGTACATTTCAGTCATTTATTCGCGAGTTTTCATGTACAATTAGTTACATTCTGAATTTTATAAACTAATCATTTAATTTCACTCTCATAGGCAGTCTTCAGTTGATCCAGTCAGCCGAAGCAATTAGCTCCAGTCTCGCTCATCCATAAATTATGCACATCTGTTAACTCACGTGACCTCTGGACCCAAGAAAACTCACAAGGGAGATTGTACTTTGGTGTTTTTCAAACCAGTTTACACAAGGCTGATCAAAGGTATTTGAAATAATCCAACTAGGTACGAATCATGGATCATCGATCGCGGTCGCAACTTGGGCTCAGGATCGCACTGCCAGTTGGACGCTGGAGTTGTCGGTCACCGAGACGCAGGAAAAAAGCCACAGAAGTAGCGGTTCGTATATTGAGAAAAACCAATGGGATTAGACAAAATCTACAAAGAAACGTCATTGGTCGGACAGGTTTCTTTCAATGGCTTATTTGAATTCGTGACATCGTACAGCCTTTGTTTGAACCCCACGGCTTGTTGGCACTATGGGCCTGTGGCTCGTTGCCCAGAACCTGTAACGCATCGTACCGTGGTTGGCGTTAGCTCGCAGGTTAGATTTTCCAGTTGTTATCTTTCGTTACATTCATTAAAATAGTACGCTTGAAAGCAGAGAGGGAGTCATGTTGAATGTACTCGTAAATCCAATGGCAGACTGAAGCCATGTGTTTAAATTTTGAAAAGTTCAGTAGCCTCGGAAGGATTCGAACCCATGAGTAGACACCGACGGATTTATTCAGACTGGATCACACAACCGCAATTTTACCAACAATGGATTGTTTGTTTGAATCATTATTTTTCCAATCTCTGTTTTTGTTACCCAGGGTTGAAGTTAAATTTTCAAATCACTGCAGATATCGTTTATGATGAACAGAATCATCTTTTTGGCGCAGATCTATTGCTGAGCTATACACAAGGGTTCAAGATTGAGATGACCGTAAACTTTCTAACAATCTCTGTATCAATCTTTGGCTATCAATGAGTATTCTACGAGAAGAACACATGGTAGAAACCGGATCATCATATTTGTCAGATCCTATATTGGACCACTTCATTGCAATTCTCTTCTGTAATCTAGAGTTTAGTGAGAGAAAGATTGTTTAACTTGACCACAGCCTTCGGAATTCTATCGTTCAACTGCGGTTANACACACACACACACACACACACACACACACACACACACACACACACACACACACACACACATACACACTTAATGGTTTAACCAGGGGTGGATTAATGTTCATTCAAAGAAATATCTTTTTGTACTTAGGGACGTCAGCCCCAGGAGTTAGCCAGAGACCAAAAACCAAGCCTTTGGAACCACTTTATATGAACTGCCTCATGGCTACTCGGAATCACCAACAACGGACAGTTCGTCTTCAATACTGTTACTCAAAATGAATATTGATGAGAAGCATAACCTCCGTTTCAATTAGGATGTAATTCGTACATTTGTTTCAGTTTGTTATCTGAATTTGTGTCTAATGGTTTTGATCACTAAACTTACCGTGGAAGGATCGCGGATCACCGATGGCAACAACTGAGGCCAAACCATCAACACGATAGGTCGAATTCCGTGCATACCTCCAGGCAGATATGTGTGTACGGAGCGAGACAATTCAATGATAACCGAGGCAGACGCATTTTGATAGGCCCAATCAATTGCATCTGGAAGTTGACAGATGTTTAGGCGTCCCGTGTTCCACGAAACTGATTCATTACACATTGGTTTTAGAGATTGGGAGGGTGGTTTGGAATTGTGCGTCTACAGTCAGAAGAAAAATCATTAACTGATAGAACCAGTGGTCTGTATTTTGAAGTTCACTCACAAAGTCCGGAAATGTTCGGTTTAAACAGCATTTAGACGGAAGTACCTGCATCTATTCTATTATAGCAGCATGGATTTTACTTCCCCTTTTCAGATTTCTGCCAGTTTGTTTACTTGATGTTCTGTTTTTATAGAATAGTTTCATTTTATATGCATATTTAAAAAAGTATTCAACAATGAATCCCATTTAGTTAAATAGTGTATTTGTCTTAGTCACGAATTTTGAGCCTATGTAAAGTGGGGGTGTTGAAGTAAGCATTGGACACATTGCTCGACCGCGTTTGATCTCTTCAGTAGTGTGAATCCACGGAGAGCTTCTTGACTGTTCAATTTCGCTTTGTTCGTATTGGATGACACTCATCATCAGATCAAACCAAATCCTTCATAAATCTCTTTAGAAAAGTGGTCAAATTTGGAGTTTTTCTGACCAAAGGCCACCACTACAACGGAAGATGTTGGTTGGTTGCAATACGTTTGGTCATGTAGATTGTGTATTTAACGCAATTCGTAGAAGAAGAAAAAGTAGTTCAGTTATCTGTCTTGTGGTTGAGTATATAGTTCACTTATGGTCCATCTGTGAGATGTCGGTTCGTCTAATCCTATTCATTTCAATCCATGCGGTAAACCAAAATTGTTCAGTCACTAAACAAAGATATTGAGTGCATCCGGATGAACGAGTCATCTCCGTCTTCACGTTCCCTGCTGCACTATCGTCAGACACTTTGTGCCTTTCTGCTCTCGAATTGATCATGCTTGGCTTTTTTGTCTGATTCGAATTTTTCAGGGATACATTGCTCATGTTTATCTGTGGTTGTAAACAAATAAATTCTCACCCAATTTCATGCGCTGAGCGAGAGAAAAAATACGATAAATGGACAAATTATCCAGAATAACAAAAAGTCCTGTTTTTCGGTGATTAAGAACGGGCTAAATACAGCAAGTTGAATGGATGTGTATCACGCTACTGTTTCAAGCCAAACATTTTTAGGAATACAAGCGTATAAAAATGAGCCGCTGCACTAGGTGGTATAGTTGTCTGGTTTGAATGTAACGTTATGTGTAACGAAAACAAACGTGTTGTCCCTTGAACGATGCTGATTCCAGCACCTAATTGTACCTACCGGAAAGTGAACTATTAAAGTCATGGAAGTTCATTCATAAAGATTAACATCAAATTTCTGAAACGAACAAACCGAGGAACGGGTGTACTTCAGATTTCTGTTGCATAAAGTAGTGCTTTAAAAGGGAGCTAGACCGAGAGTGCTAATGCGGTTCAATTCATAACCTGACAACCCCCGGGATAAAACGTATTTGAAGACAAGTAACTTAGCAGATAAAACTAATAAAATGACTTCATGTGATAGATTTTATCTATATTTATTAACTCCAAATTTTCGGAATTGGTGGCAGAATGGCCTAATGTCTTTCATAAGTAAAATGTCAATGGTTTTTATTCAAACAAATAAATACAAGCGTGTAAAATAAACTAAAATATTAATTCATTTCGATTGATCCGAATAAGTTAAAGTTGGTTTGGTGACTGGTACCTTGGGTAATATTGATTTTATACCACAAACAAAAGCATTGGCTGTAGATACATTTGTAAGAATAACATTTACGCACAATATGAATGTTCTCAAACACTTCTACCGATTGATTCTCTGCTACATAATGACTGTGTTTACACTAAGCTACTTGAATTTACTCTTTTGTTTTGCGCAAACTTGAAAAAAAACTGAACAGTAGACACGCAAAACTAATGAATACTCAAAATATTATCAGTGATTCCGAGCTCAAATATACAAATATACAAATATAGAAATATACAAATAAGTTTTAACAATAAGTTCTTGTAATCGAATGACATGAATAATCGTCGAATAAACGCGGATCACTTCAACCACTCACAAGTTGTCGTAAAAGATTCCCCGTGTGTATTGATCGGTAGAAATATAAATTGAAAACAAAACACTAACGCTCTCATGTGAGCCGTGTGTGATATATTTGATTAACAACCTGACGAGTGTGTGAGCAAGATTTAGTGTACAGTTCGATCGATCTATAATTAAATCAGGTGATTTCTGAAAGACATAGTGACAAATTATCCATGCAGAGTGTCGTACTGGAGTTTGGTACTCGTGGTGGAACCAGCTAATCATAGTTGTACTCCGACAAGTCATATGACCTTGTTCTTTTCCAGATTTTCGTGAGCATACGTATTTAAAAGCCTTGAAGAGCTGAACATCGGTTGAATGAACATCAAAAGCTGAGGTTATTAGTTCGATAAGCACTTATTATAACGAAACAACTGTAAGGCAATCGAACGAAATGAACGATTTCAAATTAGAGCAAATTCATCCACAATGGGGAAGCGCTTCAGAGAGAATCAAACGAGAACCGAACGTCAGTGGTCAATGATGATCGGTGTGTGCACCATTTAGCTTGTGTGGGCCTGCGCGCATATGTGTTTACGTATATTAGAGTTGGTCAATCATGGGCACGCATCGGTTGGACGAGTGTGTCAATATAGAAGGCGGCATGTTGTAGCAAATATATTAACTATGCCTATGCCCAAACGGCGGGTAGAACGGTCATAGGTACGTATCAATGGGAGGATGACATTGATCACACAAGTCGAGTCAAGTCAAGTCAAGAGTGCACTTCATTCATCCAATATGGACAGAATTTTCAGCGAAAAGAATGTTATTGCTTTTGTTTTGGCATGCGCGCTATTAAAAATGAGCTTAAAGATATGACAAATGGTTACTGAGATGACAATGAATCGGACACACTGGTAGTACAGGAAAATGAGCCGTGGGGCAGTGGTGCGGATGTATGTATGTAAAGGGAGCTCAGAATGAACGATCCATAGGTCATGGTGAGGCGACGTGAGCATTGAGAAAACAAAGCGAGTGGCAAACTGACTCGTTTTCGAGAATTGCTTCATTTGGTTTTATAAATATATTTTCTTTCTTTTCATTTTACTTCCTTGTATTGAATATACAAAGATAAAATATCCAGGAAGGGGATGCGGCCAATCAAAGGGCTGCCAAGTTGAACAGACGTGCAACAAATAATGTCAGAACGACTGTTTCTTGATTGGACGATATGGATATGATTAAGACTGGTAGGGATTAAGCTAAGAAGTGGTTTGGAATACGGAGATAAAGGTAAGAGGAGAAATGGAATGGGTGAAGCCGCAAGCTTTCAATTTTGGCCCAAAGGTCATGGAAAAGGTGAGGGAGGGGGGAGGTAAATAGGCGGGGCAGCTGGCGAGTTTTGGTGAAACGTCTTTGTGCACATACGGCTAGTCAAAATAAAACAACTGCTATCGCTTATACTGTTGCAAAGTGATGTTGCCAGGGGTTTTTAAATGGTTTAGGGGCTTCATACCGACCCCTGTTTTCTTTGGGTTTATCCAATTATTCTTCTATTACCTTGTCAATAAACCAATACAGATAATACTTTGATATGAAAATACTTCGTAAAATGTTCACCATGCCGAGTTTCCGCCTTTCAATTTTTTTTCTCGTTTTGTGCACTAGGACAAAATTAATAAAGTGAATTTATTGTCCGTTGCTTTCTGGGCAACGATAACTGGATAGAATGTTTGCTATTGTGGCCTATGGAGTTGTCCAGATGCTTGAAGACTCATGTATTCACAAAATTTGATAGCTGAGAGCAGAGTATGCGAAACGGTTGATTGTAGCAAAATGTACCGCAAACTATTTTGGCACAGTTTGCTTTGCCAGAAGAATTGACGTTGCACAGTGAATGTATTGTTGACCGGAAAACAACGCGGGATATATGTTCGACTTATAAGTTCCTTTTTGATTCACAAAGGATGTGGTGGATATGAATCAATGACACGATCGTTAGGCTTGTCAAAAACACGTATTTTATATCGGTCGTTGATTTGCTTAAAAAGATCATTTTGATGCTTATACTACTCATGAGTAGGTGCATTTTTCATTCCAAAGGCAAAACAGTAGTGAGCCACACGCAACCCATCCCATATCTATATCTACATACTGAACGGTCATCCTAATGGATTCATGAATCAAAACCACTGACTTTCTTGCGTATTGTTGTGCTATCTAGTAGTTTATTAGTTGTACTCAATGTTTTTCTGTTCTACGTAAGTGGGATATCTCCTGATGCTAATATATTCATTCTTCATTCTACCAAAGTTTTGGATGATAAGTCACATGACATGAGTATATCAAATGCACAGTATACAGCTACATGCACGCGGTCTCGGCTTGTTTACTCAATAAAACCAGATGTCGATAACAAAGATTCAATTTCTTCGTGTAACGGTCACATTGGAATGAGGACACAATTGTTTGAAGAATATCAGCAGCATAAGTTCTTGGATTTGTAGGACCATGTCCACGTTAGAGCTGTTGAATAAAGGTTCCACTGTTAATACCTTGACTTCAAGGTTCGATTTTGGACTTTTTGATGGACCTATAAAATTATGTGCCATACGGTACAGATTATCTTCTATGAGTGCGGAAGGGGCATTTCGTAGTTGATGTGCTACGATACGGTGCCCACAGAATCCATTTAGTTATTTGACTACTGTTTTGCGTTGTTTATCCACAAAACGCCATATTCAAAAAACCTGTACTTAGATCCGTCAACATCCATGCATGAAGTCAAGGATTCCAAGACCTCAGGTGAATCAATCTTTATTGGAACAAAGAGCGAAACAGAATTGATTCAATCTTCTCCTTGAGCATGGAAACAGTTATTTCATACGTTTAAACAGTACACAATTAAAAATAGAAGCCAGTATAGCAGCATTGCACGAATTATGTCCTGGTTTCTCTCTTTTCAAATTTATCGTGGGAAAAGCTTGTTTCGGTATACTTACTGTATTTTGAAGTAGGTTG